ACTTGGCTTCATTAAAGCTGTCAGGCAATTTACGGGCAAGAAAGGCCACAATAAAGCTGGCAAGGGCCAAGATCCCCATGTAGCCCAAGGTGCAGTAGAAGAAGGAGGATGACCCCTCATTGCACTGGAGAATCATTTCTTTGGCTTCTGAGTGCAGGTCTAACTCAGGGAATGGGGGAGATGTTGACAACCAAAGAGTACAAATACATAATTGGACGAGAGAGCAGGAAAGGACAGTAGAAAAGGCCAGTCTTTTCCCCACCCATTTCTTCATTGAAGATCCTGGTTTTGTGGCCATGAAAGCGACCACCACAGTGATGGTTTTGGCCAGGACACTAGAAATGGCCACTGAGAAGGTGATGACAAAAGTGGATTGTCGGAGAAGGCAGATCACTTGGCCAGGTTGGCTGAGGAAGAAGAAAGAGGAGAGGAAACAGAGCAGAAGTGAGACAAGGAGGGTGTAGGTGAGGGTCCGGTTGTTGGCTTTAACAATGGGAGTATCCCTGTGCTTAATAAATGTTCCAAGAACCCAAGACGTCAGGAAGAAGAAACAAAGAGCACTGGAGGTTAAACCAATTCCTAATATTTCTTCAAAAGTGAGAAAGACCACAATTTTCTGGATACATCCTTTTTTTCCCTTATTTGGATAATGATCTTCTGAACATTCAGAACAGTCATCCATATCTGGAAGAAAAGTCAAAGAATTTATCAGGTATGCCTTCCATATTTTGAAAATTACTTTCTGAGCGGGTGCAAACTTTTATTAATTTTGAGTCCTTTCCATTGGTTACCAATTTGAGAATGTTTATATAAAAATGACTTTTTTCATTTAGGATTGGCATAAAAGAAAGTCCAATGGGAAGGACAATTATTAATGGAAATGTAGTACTTTCTAATTTTTCCAAATTTATTACAATATAGGCAATTTGGATTTTTCCAAAATATGGAGAAGAAAATTTTGATGATGGACACAAAACATTAGTAAGTGAAACAGAAGCACTGACTCTGAGGTGCAAACCAATATAATTCATTTAAATTCTTTTAGGTTTCCTCCTTCCAAAATAGCGAGCAAACTAAGGAAAGATCAGTCTTTTTACTGATCTTTACTTTTTACTTGGACCAACAAGCAAAAGTAATCACCTAATTTATTCATTTGAAATCCATATTTTATCCTGACCTTAATGATGCTTCTGTGTTCTAGGTGGAGAACATTAGTAGGTTCTACTAACACCCACCGTATGTCCCTTTGATTGTAGAATAACTGATACATTCAGAAATTGTCCTTTATCTGCTGAAGCTTCATTCCTTTCACTTTCTTTCAGGTTTTTATGGAAAATAAGTTCCAGAAAATGGCAGATCAAGTGGAAGAAAATCTCTGCATTGATTCACAGCTAAACTGACCCGAGCCAATCAAAAGGTTGTTTGTTGAATTTGTAAAAATTGTCATTGTTGGTTTAAACTTTAACTAGAGGTCTAACTTTAACTTGATTCTCCTTACTTCCATGCAATCTTTAAAAGATGAGATTACTGGTCCTCAAATCATACTTTAATCTGGGCCAAAAAAAGAAAAGAAAGAAAAAATAAAGACATTTTTGAGTTAGGTCAATGCCCATAGA